ATTCGGGCGCGGGGTTTTAGGCGGACAAATAGGGTCTTGGCTGCGCGCTACCTTGTGAACGTTCCTGGGCCTAGTCGGGCCTGTGTCGCTTTGGGTCGGCAGTTGCAGCCAGTTGTCTCGACTTCGGGTTGAGGAGTGAGCAGCAACCGCCTCCCGGGTAAGTCCCTCTATTTTTCCTCTGTCGGTAGTTAATACTGGGGAGCCAAAGGGGGCTCCCCCAGAAAACCAGTGTTGAATGTAATTAAATGCCAAATTCTGGGTGAGACCTGGAGGCTCCCTGGCATCCCTCCCTTTCCCTGGTCGGCGATTTTTCACATGTTTTGATGTCCAACCTCAGATCTGAAAGATGGATGGCTGGTGTGGGGGTCTGAGGCTCCCACTCCCAGGGAGGGGGGAAGCTGCACAGACAGCGGCGCATGTTTTTTTGTTTTTAAAGATTCAATAATATTTAAATTTTTATATATTTAAAAAGTAAACAGGCTGAATTGTACTGTACGAATCTGAAAACATAATATCCGACGCATGTGAACACTTCCTGTCCATTTAAGAGAGACAAATGGTATGAGACAAAGTTGCCAACCTACCGCTTTGGATACTAATATTCAGCGATAACATTCATGGCTTTAGCAGTAGTTCATTAGACAGGTATTCTTTATTCATACAATAGTATATTTTAGTATTAAATACTAGGCAGGTAAAAAAACAAAACTGCTACACACAACTTTACATAATTTAGTGGTTTTTGGGGTAGTTCTAGCATTGTGGGAAATACTGTGTTGGCAACTCTGCTTCTGTGTTTCAGTGGCATTAGTAAAGTGGTGATTGGTGGTCTTAATTTCTTTCTAATATAGAAGCATTTTTTCTCACTAACAACCCCATCATAGCTCCTAAGCAAGCAAAGTTGACTTCCATCTTTCGTAAACAAAATGAGGAGTGTAAGAAGAATAACGTACAGGAAATGGATAATGATAACAGTGAAAGTGGCAAAAGTTGTGTTTCGACTGCTTCTAGTTCAAATTTTCAAACTGGATCCATGTGCAATTCAGAAAGTAATGATGCTTTGAAGTCTAACTTGTATCCCTGTTGAGGTGTTTGGACTGAAGAAATGTGGAAGAAAAAAAAGGACACCTATGGTTAGACTTCAGGGATGATAACTTGGGTGTAAATTATATGCAGACATAAGCACTGTAACACTTTTCACTTCTAAGGGTTTAAGACTATCAAATGAGTGGCAGATGTACCAAGTATACTCTTATGCAGCAGATCAAGGTACACATATGAAGTCTCTCAGAACAAAAACTGTTGATCATTAACTATGGAAAGTTCACACTGCTGCTTTACGTGTTGAAAATGTTGCTTGTGAAGATGCTCTTGGAAAATTGTGTGATGCCATGAAGGCTTCGCATCTAAAGACAACTTGTTCAATTTTGTGTTCTGCATATTATTTAGCTCAGAATGACAGACCAAACTCTGATCACTTTGGCTTACTGGAACTACAAAAGCAAAATGGTGTTGACATTGGAATGGGACTGCATTCCCGCACTAGTGCCACAGAGATAATTACTCACAAGCCTTAATATGAAGAAAGAAAATTTGCCAGCATATCAAGCAGATGGCGCAACTTTCTGTTCTCATTGATGAATCAACAAGCCTGAACATTAAATCAACCTTGATAGTTTACTTGAAATGTGAAAATGATAAGGAAGGTAATCCCCATTTCATATTCTTAGATCTAATTGATCTACCTGATCAAAAAGCAGCCACTATTGCTCAGCATCTGTTGAGCTGTCTCAATTATCATGGGTTTGATGACTTATATTTGAAACATAACCTTGTAGCATTTGCTTGTGATGGTGCAAGTGTCATGCTGGGTGTCAAATCTGCCCTTGCAACAATTCTCAAGGAACATTACCCTGATATAATAATCTGGCACTGTCTTAATCACAGATTAGAACTTGTAGTAGGGGATTCAGTTCATGGAATTAAAATTTTTCAAGCATTTATGGACAAATTGTACTAAGTTTACAGTAGATCACCTCTAAATCAAAAGGAACTATCTGAATGTGCCTCTCATCTTGAACAACAGATTTGCAAAACAGGCCGTGTTCTGAGCACCAGGTGGGTGGCCAGCTTGTTTCAAACAGTTTCAGCAGTGTGGAAAAATTATGAAGCACTTTGTTTTCATTTTGAAAAAGCAGTGAAAGATGAAACAAGATTTGGAAGTTAGAAAAACCTACAAAGGTCTGTTGAAAAAGCTAACTTCAGAACAGAAATGCACTACTTCGATTGTGTATGCAGACAAACTGATTCAACTGAGCATAAGATCATTGCATGGACTAAAAGAGAAACCTGGCACTAGAACCTTAGAAGCTTAAAAGGCAATTGAAAAAGGGAAGTTTCGAGGAATTACCATAACAAGCAACAAGAAAATTGTCTCCACTAATTATCAACCGTTTCTTATTAGTCTTGTGAACAATTTGCAGCACTGTATGTTCACGACAGCATCCATGAAAGGCTCTCAAACTTCTGAACCTCAAAGTATGTATAAATCACTGCTGAGTGAAATGTGTGTCCTTGAAAAAACTACTGGCCTGATGAAATACCACCTAATTACAGAGAAGCTGAAATATCATCTCTCAGTAAGAAGTTTAAGCTTTTTTCTTACTCTGCACTAAATGCCTTTAGAGACTATGTGAAAGATCATGAACGCTGCATCTCCCAAGATTTGCACCCATTACTGGGCTGTTTACAAGTTATTCCTATTAGTACTGCTGAGTGTGAGAGGGAATTCAGTCACATGAACCTGATACTGTAATAATAACAACACGCTCAAGAGTTCTCATAAATCATGTATCAGCACTTAAGTTTGTTAAGCTACATGGACCTCCTCCTAGTTCATTGGAATCTTGAGCCATATGCCATATCATAGCTGTGATACCACAGATTGACAGATGACGCCAGGACAAGAGTTGCTTCACAACCCCAAAAACATCTCGCATCTGACCCTTTGTGGAAACTATTGTGAAACTTGTCACTGGTTGTATTTTGTGAGCACTAAGTGTTTTAACTTCTTTAATTGATAAATACATGATTAATGTTTTTACTTTATTTATTTGATAATCATATTTTATGATAATTAGTGAGTACAAGTACGAAATAATTAATAGTGTGAAATACATAGAAACAGGATAGGATATGACAGGCTTTTGTCAGGCCCACCAGAGCTCCGACACCCATAAAATTGGCACTGCACCCCGGCACTGGTGCTGAGTGTGTCACCTGCTTTGTGACACTGGTGCTGAGTGTGTCACCTGCTTTGTGACACTGGTGCTGAGTGTGTCACCTGCTTTGTGGCACTGGTGCTGAGTGTGTCACCTGCTTTGTGGCACTTGTGCTGAGTGTGTCACCTGCTTTGTGACACTGGCGCTGAGTGTGTCACCTGCTTTGTGACACTGGTGCTGAGTGTCACCTGCTTTGTGACACTGGTGCTGAGTGTGTCACCTGCTTTGTGACACTGATGCTGAGCGTGTCACCTGCTTTGTGACACTGGTGCTGAGTGTGTCACCTGCTTTGTGACACTGGTGCTGAGTGTGTCACCTGCTTTGTGACACTGGTGCTGAGTGTGTCACCTGCTTTGTGACACTGGTGCTGAGTGTGTCACCTGCTTTGTGACACTGGTGCTGAGTGTGTCACCTGCTTTGTGACACTGGTGCTGAGTGTGTCGCCTGCTTTGTGACACTGGTGCTGAGTGTGTCGCCTGCTTTGTGACACTGGTGCTGAGTGTGTCACCTGCTTTGTGACACTGGTGCTGAGTGTGTCGCCTGCTTTGTGGCACTGGTGCTGAGTGTGTCACCTGCTTTGTGACACTGGTGCTGAGTGTGTCACCTGCTTTGTGACACTGGGGCTGAGTGTGTCACCTGCTTTCTGACACTGGTACTGAGTGTGTCACCTGCTTTCTGACACTGGTACTGAGTGTGTCACCTGTTTTGTGACACTGGTGCTGAGTGTCACCTGCTTTGTGACACTGGTGCTGAGTGTGTCACCTGCTTTGTGACACTGGTGCTGAGCATGTCACCTGCTTTGTGACACTGGTGCTGAGTGTTACCTGCTTTGTGACACTGGTGCTGAGAGTGTCACCTGCTTTGTGACACTGGTGCTGAGCGTGTCACCTGCTTTGTGACACTGGTGCTGTGTGTGTCACCTGCTTTGTGACACTGGTGCTGAGCATGTCCCCTGCTTTGTGACACTGGTGCTGAGAGTGTCACCTGCTTTGTGACACTGGTGCTGAGCGTGTCACCTGCTTTGTGACACTGGTGCTGAGCGTGTCACCTGCTTTGTGACACTGGTGCTGAGCGTGTCACCTGCTTTGTGACACTGGTGCTGAGCGTGTCACCTGCTTTGTGACACTGGTGCTGAGCGTGTCACCTGCTTTGTGACACTGGTGCTGAGCATGTCACCTGCTTTGTGACACTGGTGCTGAGCATGTCACCTGCTTTATGACACTGGTGCTGAGTGTGTCACCTGCTTTGTGACACTGGTGCTGTGTGTGTCACCTGCTTTGTGACACTGGTGCTGAGCGTGTCACCTGCTTTGTGACACTGGTGCTGAGCGTGTCACCTGCTTTGTGACACTGGTGCTGAGTGTGTCACCTGCTTTGTGACACTGGTGCTGAGTGTGTCCCCTGCTTTGTGACACTGGTGCTGAGTGTGTCACCTGCTTTGTGACACTGGTGCTGAGCATGTCACCTGCTTTGTGACACTGGTGCTGAGTGTCACCTGCTTTGTGACACTGGTGCTGTGTGTGTCACCTGCCTGACTAACATGATCTTAGTTCCAAGGGACACATCAAATCTTACAAGATAACCAAATGGCATTGTTCAGAAGGTAATTTTCATAAGTGCTTAGAGCTGTATATTTATCATGCAGTTATTCTTTTCTGTTTTACTGATGTTCATCTAGTTAGTTTTGCAGAGCCCTGATAAAATAAATTGTGTTTTTCAGGTACAGCCGGGATATGAGAGTGATGAAGAGAGCAAGATATCACGTTTAGTGGGTGGCCAAGTGATGGCACCTGAAGATTTAATACAGGTTTGTAGTGCATATTAAATATTTGTATATATATATACTAATATATATATATATATATATATATATATATATATATATATATATATATATATATATATATATATATATATATATATATAATATTTTGGTAGCAGTCTTTCCTGTAGACATATATTATTAAATATGACCCAAAAAGTAAGATTAATAATTCTAACACAAATTTTCTCGATATTTCTTATGTTTCTTTTCCCTGCTGATGGTAATTGAAAAATCAATTCTCCAAAATTCATTTTTCTGGGGGGAGCCCCGTCGGCTCCCCGGAGCTATCCCAGGCTGATATGCTAATGTCAGACTTTGGCATCAGTCATGTGTATGGAGTTCTTAGGCCTACCGGGGACCACGGCCAGAACCGGGCCCCCTCAGAGAGGCAAGGGGAGCAATGGCCTATAGAAGCCCCCGTGTAGTTGGAAGCATTCTATGTCTGCCATCGACCGGAACAGGCACCCAGAAAGGTAAGCGCCCCAAAACAAACCCCTATTCTGGTTAAAATTGCTACCTAATACCGAACTAGTGGATAGAACTCCCCAACCGAAAACAAGCAAATTAGTGTGACGTCACACACTGCCGCGCCGCTGTCTGCGCAGCTCCCCCCTCCCCGGGAGGGGGAAGGGGGAGCCCCAGACCCCCCGCGCCGGCTACCCACACCTCAGTTCTTGAGGCTGATGCTATAGGCGATGGTCGTGTGCTCTGGCTCCAGTGTCGCTACTGCACTGTGCTTTGAGTGTGGTGTTAGTTTTGTGGGTGCGAGAGCCAGGAGTTATCTTCAGTACTCGGGCTGCATGCGCCTAGGGCTGCCTTCCCTAGGTGCCCTGTAAGTACTGCCCTTGGGGCTTGGGGCTACCTTCCACAGGCTCCTCGGGGTCTGCCTCTGCTGGTCCGTTTTACCTTTCGGTTTTTCGGCCGCCTGTTGGGCTCTTGGGTGTTCTGTTCTCCCTTGTTACCGGCAGGTAAGAGGCAGTTTGCACTGGTAGGGGCGCAGGGTGCTGCTCAGCTTGTAATTCCCGACATCGCGGCCGGCTCTGTTCCTTGGGGTTCGCTGTCCTCTTGCGGGGTTTTGTTTTTCTTTTTGTTTTTGCCTGGTGGGGGGTTCTGTCATTTTATTCAGTTTGTTTTTGCCCTTCCACTGTTCTCCTCGGTGGCGCCCCCTGCTAGGTCCCCGTGAGTGTACACGTCCCTGGGGTTCAGCTTTAGAAGTTTGCTTGGTAGTTTTGGGCGCCGGTTTGCAGCACCCTGCCTGGGACTACCTGAGCGCGAGTCCTCTTAAAGTAAACGCTCAGGACCCTGGGAATCCCCTAGGGGGCGCGTGGGTCCGATGGATGTGACCCCGGGGTCCCCACTCGCTGTGTGCGAGTTTGAGGGTTGCTCGGTCCCCTTGTCTCAGGGTGACCCTCATTGTTTTTGCCTCTGCCACGCTGCCTGTTGGGTCGGTGATACTTTCGACCCTGGGTCCTGTGAGTGTTGCTGCTTGCTTGTGACTCAATTTACCCAATCCTCTGATGATTCTATTCGGGTACAGGCGGCACGTGCGTTGCAGTCTAGGTTTCGTCTGTTGCAACGCGCTCGGTTGGTTGCTTCCCCGGATGCCCCGGGGCTGCCCCGCTTTGCTTTTCGAGACCCGGACTTGGGGGTGGGGGTCGCTTCGATCCTGGTTCAGTCCGCACCTCCTCGTCCTTCCCCTTCTGTTCGTTCTGGTCCCCCGCCCCTGCTTCCGGCCCCGAAGCGTCTGAGGGTTTCGGGGTCGGAGCAGGGGTTACTTGATCTCGAGACTCGGGCAGCTTCGGGGGTTGCCCCTTCCGGGGGGGCGGCAGAGGCATTCGAGTCTTGTCTCCCGGCCGAAGCTTCAGGGTCTGACCAGTGGGCCCCCCTTCCTCCAGCTTTTCCGGCTGCTCCGTCCTTGTCTTGTGGGGTCGGGGCTTGGGGAGAGGACTCGGCCTCGGGTCCTGTGGTGACGGACCTTGAGGCTGGGGAGGGGCTGACTTGGGGGCCTTGGGCCCCGCTGGACCCCGCCTGGGTTTTTCTTCCCACTGAGCGGGGCTTATTGTTACAAGGAGTGGGGTTTTCTTTCCCCCCCTCTGCGTACGAGTTGGATTTGGTGTCGGCCCCTCCCCGGGTACGGTTCCGTGTTCCCCCAGGTACGTCGGTTCCGTCCTTCCGGAGGTTTTCGGCTTATCGCATCCAACCTGGTGTGGTGCGAGCGGCCTTTGCAGCTTACCTCCTGCGTGACCCGGATTATGCCTCGGAAATGGATCCGTCCACATTCAGGTTTGGGACTTCGTTCCCTTTCTGGCTCCGTTACGAGGTTCCGGAGTCATCCTGGCTAGCAGACTGCCCCTTGTTTGGTCTGGATTCCTGGCATTCCTTCTGTCGTTCCCGCACGCTGGAGTGGCGGGAAGCTTCCACGGTGCTTCAGGTTTTCCTGGGGGGTGAACTTGAGTACCTGAATGAGTGCTTGTTTGCCCCTGCCCTTCCCCGCGATGTGGGCGTTATTCAGCTCCATGTGCAGGTTCCCTCCCTTTCGGCGGCGCTCGTGGCGGAGGACTTGCGCGCTCGGGGCCTTTTGTGTTCGGCCTTGCGGTTCTTTTCCCTCCTGGAGCTGTCTTCGGATTGGCTCGTGGAGGATGTGGGGACGCTTGGGTCCGTCCCGGGGTCCGGCACCTTGTCCTCGGCTGCGCGTTCGTCGGCTGCCTTGTTGAAGCTGTTCACGCCGATTTTGCGGGATGCGGTTTCCCTGTTCTATGCTTCCCGTCTCGCGTGTCGGCAGGCGGTGCTGGGTTCCTCCGTGGAATCTGCTTGGGCTCTGGCTCTTAGGCGTTCTTCACCTTTTTGTCCTCTCCTGTTTGGGGAGTCGGCCGTGGCGCAGTTTATTCAGGCTGCGTCGGCGGCTTGTCGTCCGATGTCGGACTTGTTGGTTTTCCGGGGGTCCCGGGGTGGGTCTTCCCGGAAAGGTCGTGCCAGGGCTCGGGGTTCCTCTCGTCGTGGTAGGCCTCTGGTGTCAGGTTTGGGGTTGGCTCCTCCTGCGGACCCTCCCTCGTCTGGTCGGCGCGGTGTTCGCGCTGTGCGGGGTTCTGGGTCTCGTAAGGGTCGCCGGCCCTTTTGCGGTTTGCCCCTTTGACGGGGCGATGGGGGGGCGGCTTGCGCTGTTCGCCCGCGCCTGGTCCCATGATTCGTGGGCCTTTCGGGTCGTGTCTCGCGGCCTGCGGTGGCGTTGGGTGGCCCCTCCCCCCTTTGGGGGGTCGGGGCTGGCGGGGCAGGCTTCTTCCCCTGCGCTCTGTCGAGTCGTCTTGGAGTGGGTACGCTTGGGCGTCGTCGAAACGACGTCGTCCCTCAGATGGGTTTCCCGTCTGTTTCCGGTTCCGAAACGGGACTGCGCGGACCTGCGGTTCATTCTGGACTTGTCCCGTCTGAACCCCTGGGTTCATTGCCCCTCCTTTCGGATGACTACGCTGTCTCAGGTTCGGCTCCTCTTGGAGCCGGGTGCTTGGATGGTGTCCCTGGACCTCCGGGACGCTTATTGGCATGTCCCGATTCATCCGCGGTTCAGGGACTGGCTCGGTTTTGTAGTGGGGCGTCTGAGTTACCGCTTTCGTTGTCTCCCGTTCGGGTTGAACCTGGCACCTCGCGTGTTCACACGCCTTACACGGGTTGTGGTGGCTCGTTTGCGTCTCCTAGGTGTTCGGGTGTTGGCCTACCTCGACGACTGGCTGGTTTGGGCTCCCAGCCAGTCCGCTTGCTTGCTAGCCAGGGATTTGGTTCTTTCCCAGCTCGCCGGGTTCGGGTTCTTGGTGAACTGGAGGAAGTCCCATCTGGTTCCCTCTCAGATTCGGACTTGGCTGGGTCTCGTGTGGGACTCTCGGACCGCCTCCTTGTCTCTCCCTCCGGAGTCTCTCCTGCGGCTGCGGTCCCGCCTTCGTCTGTTTCTGGAGGGCCCTCGGGTCACCCGGCGGTTGCTCGAGGGGCTGTGTGGGAGCCTGAACTTCGCGATGGTGGTCTACCCGCTGGGTCGGGTTTGGCTTCGACGGCTGTTCTGGTTCCTTCGGGGTTCCCCCTTCCGCCTCTCTCGCGATCGCAGAGTTCGACCCCCGGGGGACTTGCGTCGGTTGCTGCGTCACCGGCTTCCTCTTCGGGTTTTTCGGGGTTCAGTGCCTTGGCGCCTACCCGAGCCCTCGCTCGATGTGTTCACGGATGTGTCGTCTCTCGGCTGGGGCTTTGTGACCAGTGCTCACCAGGCCGGCCAGGGGCGGTGGGGTCCGTCCTTCCGTCGAGCTCACAGCACGGTGCGGGAGTTCGCGGCAGTGTGGTTTGCGCTTCGGAGGATTCGGGTGGCCCGCGGATCGACGATTCGGCTCCATTTGGACTGCTCTCCGGTGGTTCATTGCCTGAACCGCGGGGGTTCGATGCGGTCCTTGGCTCTTTGGGGCTGGTCGCTTCGGGTGACTCGTCTGCTGAGTTCTCGGGGTTTGGCTCTCCTGGCGGTTCACGTACGGGGCGTGTCCAACGTCTTGGCCGACGCCCTGTCTCGCTTCGTTCCCCTCTCCACGGAGTGGACGGTCGACGACGAGTCCTTCAGTTGGCTTTGCCAGACGTTCGGGCGCCCCGAGGTGGACCTCTTCGCGTCGGCGTGGTCGCGGCGTCTTCCCGTTTATGCGGCGCCCTTCCCCGACTGCGTGCCGTCGGGGTCGATGCCTTTCGGCTCGACTGGTCGAGGTGGGGGTTCCTGTACCTCTTGCCCCCAGTTCAGCTGTTGCTCCAGGTCCTGGCTCGCTTGGAGACTTACCAGGGGAGAGTTGTCCTCTTGGCCCCTTGGTGGCCGGCCCAGCCTTGGTTTCAGGCGCTGCTTGCTCGGTGTCCGAACACGAGGGTTTTCCTGCGGCTCCGCCTCTTTCAGCAGATCGGGCCGGTCCGTCACGTAGCTGGTTCGATCTTCTCCTCGAGTCTTCGCGTATGGTATTTTTGACTCGAGT